GGTGGCCGTTTTCACCCTCCCAAGCTCCTAGAAAGGCTCTGGAGCCTGGGGAGAGAGAAAAATGGGACTACTGGGCCCACCGAGCCATCACGTACCAGGAGAATGGGGGGAGTGTGGGGGTCATGCACGCATGCACGGGAGTGGGGCGCGTAGAGTTATGGGTGTGGGCACGCATGCGCGTGACCCTCCCACGCCTCCCCCGACTCCTGGCACATGATGGCAAAAAGGTTAGCCATCACTGCTCTAACTAGTTAACAGAGTCAGCATATTGCCTGCCAACAATCTGAGTCCTCATTTAATCAACCTTGGAAGGATGAAAAGCTGAGTCAACACTGAGCCGGTCAGGATTGAACTCAAGGCAGTGGGCAGAGTTAGCCTGCAGTACTTCATTCTAACTGCACCACCATGTAGCAATGACAGAAATTCTAACGTGCTGCCTTCACTGAAAAAGTTGGGATGCATTCAGAGATGGAGAATATTTGCCTTGAAAACAGTCCATGTTGAATTGGTGAGCACAATTATAAACATAGGAAATGTTTTATAGTATTTTGCATTTTGTCACAAACTGCTTAGTCTACACTGAATTGTACAGTGCAAACATCAGCACAGAAAATGTTTTATGACATATGTCATAAACTGTTTTATATTTATGGTCATAAAGCGTTCTACAAAATTTGCCAAATTTCAATTCCACTTTCATTTCACTAAGATGGTCCATTTAAGGTACTTTTGTACTTCAAAATGTTTCACCCTATGGTGCACTGTTTCATCCAATTAAAGGTTACAGAGATCAGAAATTTAATATCTGTATAATAGTAATAATCTCTATGTCTTTCTGGTTGACTTAACTTTCTAGACATCATGAAAACGGATGACCTAGGATATGAAAGGATTTTCCTCTAGGACCGATGTTGATGTTGTTATTAAAGAAATGCTTAACTGCCAACATTTCTCTATTTGACAGACACAGAGACCATTTGTCTTGGGAATTTTCTCACTCTCTGTGAAAGAACATAAATCTATTGTTTGCAATGATTGATGTATTTCAGAAGCAACCTTGGCATTTGGTCAAACTGGATCATTTAGATTGCAGGAAGAAATAATCTTTTCCCCCCCCCTTCTTTTTCGATTGTACTAAATGGCAACAAGAAACTTGTTTCTACTGCAGAATTTTCTTCTATTCTTTCTTGGTTTTTATGCTGGTTAGTTTGGGGAATCTTCTCCCTTCTAGAGGCTCCATAACCACAGCTGTCAACGTCAATATATCGATATCATGAGAAGGTAGTAGAAGTGAGTCAACTGTAGTAAGGGTTCTGTCCAGTGATTACCTGAGACTCTCTCTATATATTTATATATTTATTTATCAAGAACGTATTAGGTAATTTATATAATTATAAGCATGAATTGAATACAAGATGTTGGTTATCACCTTTAAAGCGCTCCATGGCATAGGGCCTAGCTATCTTCGAGACCGCCTGCTGCCACCGACGACCTCCCATTGACCCGTGTGCTCCCACAGAGAGGGCCTCCTCAGGGTGCCATCAGCCAAACAGTGTAGGCTGGTGACCCCCAGGGGGAGGGCCTTCTCTGTGGGGGCACCTACCCTCTGGAATCAGTTGCCCCCAGAGATAAGGAGAATCCAAGACCTCAGTGCCTTCCGCCGTGCCCTTAAAACCTTTTTTTTCCAGCAAGCCGGGCTGGCCTAATTTTTTAAGTGTTTTTAATTGTTTTGTTTATCGTTTTTAATTAATGGGGCCAAATTTATATATATCTTTTAATTGTATTTTAATATTTGTACTTGATGTTTTTACTTGGCTGTTCACCGCCCTGAGTCCTCAGGGAGAAGGGCGGTATACAAATTCAAAATAAAATAAAATTAAAATAAAAAATACATAAAATAGATACAATTAGAGAAAACATTAAGATAGAGACAGTAGGCATGCTGGTGCTCTTATGTACGCCCCTTACAGACCTCTTAGGAATGGGGTGAGGTCAACAGTAGACAGTCTTAAGTTAAAATTTTGGGGGTTTTGGGATGAAACCACAGAGTCAGGTAGTGCATTCCAGGTATTGACCACGCTGTTGCTGAAGTCATATTTTCTGCAATCGAGTTTGGAGCGGTTCACTTTAAGTTTGTATCTATTGTGTGCTCGTGTATTGTTGTGGTTGAAGCTGAAGTAGTCATTGACAGGTAGGACATTGTAGCAGATAATTTTATGAGCTATGCTTAGGTCATACCGAAGACAGCGTAGTTCTAAGTTTTCTAGGCCCAGAATTTCAAGTCTGGTGGCATAAGGTATTTTGTTGCGAGCAGAGGAGTGGAGGACTCTTCTTGTGAAATATTTCTGACACGTTCGATTGTATTAATGTCCAATTATCTTCCATTAGGGAAGATGACTCTGAAGTCATCTATGGTCAAGGCATCATAATTTGTATGGCAGCAAATGCCAACCTTCCTAAAGGAATTGCAAAGTCTTAAGAGGCCCCATCTTTTTTGCAGTCTTGTTTTCTGTTAAGCTGTGCAGATAGAGAACTCAGAGTTCATCCGTGTATGATCCTCGAGAAGATTCTGAATAGTGGTTCATGCTCTCAGGCCAATTCTAATCAGAGTCTTTTCTGGCGTGCAGAAGATTTCAAATGCTAGGTCTTATGGCATCTAGAAGGTGGATAGCATTGAATCGTCTGAACTCTCTCACTCAAACTTTAGAGGTATTTGAATAGGGGAGCTGAGATGGAATCAGAGATGTAGTGTGGCTCTAAATCACAACAGGAAGTAGGGAGACAGTTGAGTGATTGTGTCCCAGGCCCATGATGAGACATGGAGATATAGGCCAATGTAGCTTCAGCTTCAGCCTTCTCACTGCTTTACAGAACATAACACAACGTAACATAATGTTAGGGTTCCAAATAACGCCCCCAACAAAAGAAAACGCCGAGGCTAGAAGTTCCTCAAAGTTCCATTTTGTTAGAGATGTCATATTGGCATATCTGGGAAAACCGGAATCTGAAAGCTTCCAGGTTTTCCCCACCCAACAGAAAGTCCAAGTCCCTGCCCAGCACCCACAAGTCCATCACGTGGCCCAATCACAGCACCGTCCCAACTGGAGAGGACTCCCAGTTCCAGCCCTCCAGGTGCAGGGCAAGATGTCCTTGACTCTCTGAGAAAAGAATGTTATTATGACTATATATCACCCCTGCTCCATACAATCCCCCCTCCCAGTTTCCCACAGTAGGCAATGTGGCAGGCCTGAAGGCCCAATGCAAAAGATGGATTCCAGGCCTGACACACAACACAAAACAACATGCCATCTTACAATGCTGAACAGACACAATTTTTTAGGCCTTAACAATACCGTCTCTGCAATGAATAAAATATTTTTTTCAGCTATTTTCCAATCCTATAGAATAGAGGCCAATCTTACAAAGACAATTATATTTTTATGTTCACTGATAGTAACTTTCTTTTGAGCTCTTTGAAACAGTTAGGCTGATACTCCCCAGTCCCAATTATATGTAGTTTCAAAGAGGTTTAGAAAAGAAAAGGCTGGATGACATCTGTGGAACCCACATTTATTAATTTTTTAGGAGCTGTTATATTCTGGGTGAAGAATGGAGGTGAGTCTGGAGCAGTGGTGGGTTCCTCCCGGTTCAGTCCGGCCGAGCTGGTAGCAGTGACGATATGACCTCACCGAACCGATTCTCCCCCCCCACCCTCCCACGTTATTCTTACCTTTTATTTGGCCCCACTCCCAATCTATTGCTGCCTCCTGAGTCCCAACTGATGGCTAGAGGGAAATAACCTGTTTAAACTCTTGCTGCGAGGCTTCAAAGGGCCGACCTACAGCTGATCAGTGTTAAAAGCAAACAAATGAGTCGGGTCGTAAGTGCGAGGACCTTCCAGAAATGACTCTTTTCAGCCCTCTGAGTAGTCCCTATACACATAGCCATGGCCACCCGGTCACATGACCAGCTAGCCACGCCCACCTAGTCACATGACCTCTAAGCCACACCCACAAAATAAGTCACGCCCACAGAACCGGTAGTAAAAAGATTTAGAACCCACCCCTGCGGGGGACCCTCTTCAGGAGAGGAATGAGGAAAAGCATACAGAACTGGTTTCTTTTCTTTTCTTTTATTTACGCTTTATTTGACAAACAAGGCTTGGCGTTTGCCCTCTGGCTAGCACCAAGGGAGTTGCCCACGGGGCCCCTTTAGCAGAGACGGGGTCTTCTTCCTTTCCCAACTGGGGTGGGGGGTTAGCTTGCGAGGACCCCTCCGTGCCCCGAATCTGCACTCCTTCACCTTGACCCCCTTAGCAGGTTGCTGTGGAGGAGAGAAGAGAGAAGAATTGGTCCTCCCAGGAGGAGTCCTTCTCTGATGCCCTGGTGAGCCCTTAGTCTGGGCTTAGCATGGAAACATGAGTTGAAATGAAAGAAACGTCTGCCCAGGTCTTCCCAGGAGAGCTTCCGCCAGCCCAGAAGAGATGACCATGAAGGACCAAAGGGTTACCTTGCTGGACGTTTTGCAATATCTCTCCAGTTATCCCCAGCGAGGTGGCAGCGGCCCTCAACTTCGCCTTCAAAGCTCGTGTCACAGTGGGCTGAGTGCCTAGAGGCAAGCAAGGAGGTGGGGGGTTGGCAGGAAACTTCAGGGAGTGGGGGAGCCTGCTCTGGCTCCCCCCAAATTTCCTGGTTCAACTGCTGAGACAGAGGGAGAGAATGGGAGGGAGGGGCTTCCCCGGGGGCAGAGATGCTGCTGGGCAGGAGAGGGGAGGGAACATGCCTCACCAAGGGGGTCCCACCAAGGATGGTGGATGGTGGAGGTGGCCCTTTACAGGCAAGAAGCAAAGGGAGGGGCCTGGCTTTGCTGTCAGCAACATTAGGACAGGCGAGGACAAGGATGAGGGTCTCTCCCGACTAGCCGCCCATCCAGCTCTCTTACCGGCAAGCGCCAGGAAGGCTTCCGCCTTGTCGGCGCCCCGCGTGATGTAAGCGATAAAGTAGGTTTTATAATCCGTTTTCACAAAGCGAAGGGTGCTGGGAGCTTCATTGCAAAAAGCAGGGAGAGACTGTTTAAGTCCCCTTTGGGGCAGGAGCCCTGCAAGCCCCTCATCCCCGCCTGTCCCAGGAGAAGCCGCCATCCTCTCTGGGGGCCTCGGCCCCGTCCTGCTTCCTTCCCTGCCTCGAAGAGGAGGAGGGGGCTTCTCTTGGGCAGGTGGGGACAGGCTCAGCCCCTGCCCTGCCCAGAGGGGTCTTCTCGCGCTCGCCTAGGGGGAGGACGGAGGAAGCCTCTTGCGGAGACATGGGGTGGCTCCCCCGATGGAACTCGGAGTCACCAGTTGGGCAGGAAAGCATCTCTTCCTCACCAGCCCCGTGTGAAAACTCCCCAGTCAGGAAGGCCGGATGGAGGCCGGAGGGAATTCCCCACTCACCAGCGGTCACGTAGTCCCCAGGCTGGCCCTGTTTGTTCAGAGCCACCTCTTGAGTCGTGCATCTGCCGTTCCTTGAAAGAAAAGGAACCGCATAAATCTTTGGGGGCAGGAGGGCCGCCGAGGGACCCACTTCGGTCCTCTTTCGCGGATGGGAACCTTTGGCAACACCAGTGAGCTTGTCCTTGTCTCCCAAAACTTACTGGGGAACTCTAAAGCTGTACTTCAGATTTCCATTTGGCTGAGCCAGAAATCTAAACGGGGGAAACTCCACACTCGTCGTGGATCCAATAGGAATGGATAGAAGAGGATACCAAGCCTTGGCAATCTAGGAAAGGAGAAAGCAGGAGAATCTGTTAGCTTTCCAAAACCCAAATCCTTCCTGCCAGATTTGGCTAAACCTTTTCTAATGGGAGCCAACCCTTGCAGGACTGATGCTGTTCCCTAGTTGGGTCGTGAAATGTCTGCCAGCCAGCCCAGATAACACCAGAGACCTCACAGTCCTGCCTGGGGTCCTCTTCCACTTAGAATTGGGAGGAGAAGAACTTCCGTCCAGGATTCCCAGCTCTGACCCTTTGGTTATTGAAATTCCTCATGATGGGAACAGTCACAGCGGCCCCCAGCCAGCAGACCCCAGCCAAGAGGAGGCTGCCCAGCAGAAGCTTCATGGCTGCAACTCTTTTGCCCCTCTGGCTGCTCAGCCCCTTGCCCCTTTTATCCTCTGGAGGCTCCTCCAGGTGAATCCACCCTTGTCCAGGAAGCTGTGGAAGGAGGACGGCATGGACCATTGGCAGAAGCAATGGGCCCCGGGTGGCTGCCCTTCGGAACACATCCGGATGGGACGTTCCCTGCAGAGAGAGCTTGGAAGCATCACCTTCCCTCCCGAGCAGCCTGGGTGGGGGTCACAGTCACGCCCGGAAGAAGCCCACTGAGCCCTGCCCGGCCTGTATCCTTTGCTCCCCAGTATCCCTCTTTGAGCTGCTGAGGACAGGTGGGTGGAGAGAACCGAAGGGGGAGGGGCAAGACAGAGAGGGAGGGGCTTCCCTTGGGCCACAGCTGCTTAGAGTCATGGCCTCCCAAGAATAGGATATTGAGGGAGGCACTGCTGGACCCCAGGTGGGGAAAGATTCTGACCCCCAGGTGGGGGTGGGCATTCCAGTTGGAGTTGGTAATAAAGATGAATTTGGTGGCCTCTTTTTCTTCCGTACCCAGCTAGGCAATGACTAGAGGCAGCTGAAGAAGCATGCTGGTTTACGGGGCTTCCAGGCCCCTCCCCCAAAGGCGAGCTACGACTGGGGATTGAACCCTCTTTCCGTGCAGAAGATTAACTAACCTGTCTTGAAGCCCCAAGGAATGGGGGGTCTTTTCCAGGGACGTGTTTGGTGGGATTTATTTATTTATTTATTATTTATTTCATATAATTTGTATGCCGCCCTATCTCCGTAGGACTCAGGGCGGCTCACAACAAATAAAGACAAACCCAATAAAACATAAAATACATAAATGTATAAATATATAATTTAAACATATATTAAAACCCATTAAAATAATCAAAAAAACCCTCAGTCCAGGCTGGGCAATATGAACAGCCATGTTTTTAATTCGCGGCGGAAAATGCGAAGGTCAGATTGCCTTTCCCTGGGCTTTTCATCCCATCGCTTGAGGGGGAGTCTTGCTAGCCTGGGGGGCTGCCTGGAGGAGCCCCCCGGGAGGTGCCAGGCCTGATCCAGTGTCGAGAAGTTCAGAGCCTGGCAAAGTCCAGCAGCTTTTCTGCCCTTGGAATAAAGGACCCTCGGAGACTTTCGGCTGGGTTGCAGTTCCTATATTCATTTATTGATTTCTTGTTTATTTATTGGTTTATTGGTTCCTTGGCCTGACTGGCACTGCCCACCTCAGGGAGGCTTATGGAAAAGGACTTTTTTTTCCAGGGACTAACCTGAAGATGCCCCCAAAGTTGCGCACAGTCAGCCGATATTTGGTGAAGGAAGGTTTGTTTTTGAAATAAACTCAGAAAATTAAGAAAATGCACCTCATTTTGCCCCCTTCCTTGGAAGGGGCAAAATCTGGCAACCGGAAAGACTGGTTGAGAAGTTATTACATTGTCTGATTGATTACTTTAAGGATTAACAAGCAAAATAACTTCAGTTGCACAAGATCCTGCAGATCTGAAGGTCAAACATCACTTTCCCAATCAGAGCCGCATTTTATACACTCCGGGTTGTGCTGAAACCAGGGGGCTGGCTGGATTCGGTGCCCTTAAAGATGCCACCCCACTTCAGCCACCGTCCGTTGCTCTCCTGCTGCCTTAAGGAAGATGGGGAGCTTGTCTTTTGGGGAGAAGGAAGCTGAAAAAAGGAGTCAGTCCCGAAAGGCTGCTTGGAGGGCACTCGGTGCTTCACCACCTGGGCACCTGCCTGGAGCTGCTGGGCTGTGGGGCAAGGGGGGGGCACCCGTGGTTCAGAGCTGGACCTCGCCTTCTGGGGTACAGGGAAAACAGCCAATCTTATATGATTTTTTTCCCCCACCTCCAGATCCCCTTCTGGGGAGTTTAACTCTTATTCACATTATTCATCTCCAGGTGAATCCACCCTTGTCCAGGAAGCTATGGAAGGAGGACGGCATGGACCATTGGCAGAAGCAATGGGCCCCGGGTGGCTGCCCTTCGGAACACATCCGGATGGGACGTTCCCTGCAGAGAGAGCTTGGAAGCATCACCTTCCCTCCCGAGCAGCCTGGGTGGGGGTCACAATCACGCCCGGAAGAAGCCCACTGAGCCCTGCCTGGCCTGTATCCTTTGCTCCCCAGTATCCCTCTTTGAGCTGCTGAGGACGGGTGGGTGGAGAGCAGCTCTCTTCCTGCTCTGCGTGATGACCGCAACCTGTGGTGGGGCAGAGACGTCCACTTGCCCAGGTGAGCAGCAGGCAGGTGAACTCTGAGGGCGGCAGAGAGCATCACTACTCTCTAGAGATGGGAAATAAAGCTTTTCCACTCCAAACATTTTCCTTCCATTTCAGTATCCAAGATTCCGGCCCTGGGTAGCAATGAGACAATGGAGTTCCTATGGAGAATTCCAGGCTTCCCTGGACCAGCTGGGCCCCAGGGCCCCTGATGTTCCAGGGGCCAAAGGTGTATCTATTGACGAGGGGAGGCAGCTGGCCCCTTCCAAATGAAGCCGCCCCCATTTATCATAAGGCAGGAGGACTGTGCTGCAAAGGAAGAGCGCTAGGACTGGCAGAAGGGAGCAAGGGAACCCCTTTCTTCTTGGCACTTCAGCTGTGGAAATTCCCCCACCTACAGTGGGCATTTCCCTGAGCTTAGCCCCTGCCCTGGTTTAAGCCTGCCCTGAAGAGAGGGGCTGGGAAGGGCTGTCCCCCCCCCCAAGAGGGCCTGGAATCTCACTCAGCCTTCTCCCAACCGGTGGGAGAGGCTTGCAGGGAATTCCTGGGGAAATTGGACCCCCTGGGCCAAAAGGGAAGGGGGAAACCAGGGTGATGCCGACTGTAAGATTCACCGTATTTTTATGGGTGTATTTGTTTCTGTGAAGCTGTTAGAATTATACTTATTTCACTCAATAATCCTTAAAGTAATCAATGGGGCAACGTAACTACTTCTCAACCAGTCTTTCCGGATTTTGCCCCTTCCAGGGACGGGGTGCGTTTCCTTGTTTTTCTGAGTTTGTGAGAGCATTTTATTTATTCTGAGATTAATGGTGGGCAAAGAGATGCTTCTGGATCCCCTTTGGTTTAGTGGTAGAAAGGCAGGGGACTTAAGAGGTTCTGCTGGGCTGGTGCCAAGAGAGCCAACGGCCCCCCAGGACTGCCAGGCTAAGCACCTGGGAGGGAGGGAGGGAGGAAGGACCACTCGACCCCGGGAGAGGCAAGGTGGCCAGCACAGGGGGGGGGGAGACCAGTGGTGGGTTCCTCCTGGTTCGGTCCGGCCGAGCCGGTAGCAGTGACGATATGACATCACCGAACCGGTTCTCCCCCCCAACCCCCCAACCCCCCATGTTATTCTTACCCTTTATTTGGCCCCACTCCCAATCTATTGCTGCCTCCCGAGTCCCAACTGATGGCTAGAGGGAAAAAAACTGTTTAAACTCTTGCCGCGGGGCTTCAAAGGGCCAACCTACAGCTGATCAGTGTTAAAAGAAAACAAATGAGTCAGGTCGTAAGTGCGAGGACCTTCCAGAAATGACTCTTCAGCCCTCTGAGTAGTCCCTATACACATAGCCATGGCCACCCGGTCACATGACCAGCTAGCCATGCCCACCTAGTCACATGACCCCCTAAACCACACCCACAAAATAAGCCATGCCCACAGAACCAGTAGTAAAAAAATTTAGAACCCACCCCTGGTCTGGAGTGATTTTTAACAGTTCTTTATTCAATACTGCCTGTGAGGCAGGGGTGAAATGCTCCCGGTTCAGACTGGATCACCTGATCTGGTAGCGATGGTGGCGGGTGGTTCAGAGAACTGGTAGCAAAAATCCCTGCCCACCCCACATCCCCAGCTGAGCTGCGCGATCATCAGAGGCTTTTTTTTAAAAAAAATTTAAAGCATTTTTTCTACAACCTCTTCGGCCGAAAAAATGCTTTTAAAAGTTAAAAAAAAAAGGCTCTGATCATCGTGCGGCTCAGCTGGGATCGTCAGAGGCTTTTAAAAACATTTTTTCTACAACCTCTTCAAGATGGGATCGTCAGAGGCTTTTAAAAGCACTTTTTTTACAATCTCTTCAGCTGAAGAGCTTGTAGAAAAAATGTCTTTAAAAGAAAAAAAAGCCTCTGACGATCAGGCAACTTAGCTGGAATCGTCAGAGGCTTTTAAAAGCATTTTCTTTACAACCTCTTTGGCCGAAGAGGTTGTAGAAAAATTGGTTGTAAAAGTTAAAAAAAAAAGTTGGCCACACCCACTCAGTCACATTAACCCTCCACCCCCAAGCCACCCCCACAGAATCGGTAGTAACAAATTTTACATTTCACCACTGCTGTGAGGCAACACCCTCCCTGGCTGACACAGCTCCTTTTATATGAAACTGATCAGCCAAACAACCAATTAGGAGAGAGTATTTTCCCGCTCCAACGGAGGACCAGAATGAGAACTTCAACTGACAACTATACACTATATACAATACATAACAGGAGCATGAAGATCATAAATTTTAGATTTGCTGGTTGAGATCCTGTGAGACAGATTGAAAGCTCCCAAGCATGACCAAGCTCACATTTCACCACCTGGAAATTTTTAAAGATGGCGGCGGGGAGGAGGTGGGAGCCAGCATTTGAAAAGTTCTCCCTTGTTCTTCTCTTCTTTGCATATC